GCCCCCGGGACCGGGACCCCCCCCCCCCCAGGAAAGGAGACCCCCCTCGAGTCAGGAAGGGTCCCCTGGGATATGGGACACCTCCCCGGGAAGGGGGACACCCCCCCGCCCCCATGGCACTTGGCACGGAGAGGACCCAGGCATTCAGGTTGGTGGCTTCAGGGATATTTTCAGTGCCGAGACTTTGTGGCTCTTTCCAGACGGGTGTCGTGTCCCGTCCCCCCCCCCAGCCCCACCCTGTCACCACTGCCACCCCCACACGGGCCACCAGGACCCAGCCCAGGGACCGCCAGGGTCCTGCAGCACTGGGGGACCCTGGGGTGCTGGCAGCGAGCAGATGGGACCACTGTGCCCCAGGACCTGGCTCTGGGGACAGGTTTGTCCCCAGGGCCATTGCCCCCCCCCCCCCGACCTGGGGGTGGGGACACATCTGTCCCCAGGGTCACGGCACCCCCAGACCAGCTGATGGGAACATGTCCGTCCCCAGGAGTCTGGCACCCCTTGGGGGACACACACACATCTGTCCCCAAGGCCACGGTGATGGGGCCACGTCTGTCCCTGGCACAGGGCCACCCTGGGGCGGGTAGGTCCCTGGGAGGACACTGGGCTGGCACCAGAGGCCACTGTGGTCCCTGGGAGCCGTGGGGACCAGGAGATGGGGACCCTGCGTCCCCCATCCCCATACAGGGCCTGATCCCCCCCCCCGCGCCCCATCACTGTCCCTGTGCCCACAGGGGACACATTGGTGTCCCCCACCCCAGCAGGACCCGCATGCTGCCATCCCCAGGGAGGGGACGGGGACATGGGGACGGTGCCAAGTGCCATCTTCACCCCAAACTGTCCCCCCACTGGGGATGGCTCCACCGTGTGAGCAGGGGGAGCCAGGGCCCCCAGTGATGGGGTGGCCCGGACATCTGGGATCACGGGACAAGGGAGAGTGGGGAGCTGGGGCTGAGTGAGGACAGGCGCTGGCAGGGTGGCCTGGGGGGGTCACGGGCACGGTGGCAGGGGAAACTGAGGCAGGGGCTAGGGGGGCACCCACTGGGATCGGGGCTGGGAGCAGCAGCACATCAGGGATGGGGATGGGGACCAGGGACTGGGGACCAGGGATAGGGTTTGGGGAACAGGGACTGGGATCAGGAAACAAGGGCTGGGGTCTGGGGACAGGGCTGGGGTTTGGGGGACAAGGGACTGGGGACTTGGGGGACCAGGGACTGGAGATCAAGGACAAGAGACTGGGAACTGGGGACCAGGGACCCCCAGAGCAGGGTCTGGACCCATCCCACCCCGGGTAGCTGCTCCAGAGCAGGGGGGGGGACAGGACACACGCAGGAAGGGTTGGTGTCCCTGACACAGCAGAGGCCATGCAGAGCCACGAAGCCACCAGCTGTCACACACCCCCCCACCCCCCGGCAGCCCTGCAGCAGCCACTCATGCACCGAGCTCACGCCGTTCTCAGCCCACAGCTCCTGGCTCCCTGGGGCGCCTGCCCTGCTCCTAATTTCCCGGCGCAAGCGGAGCTGATTTATGGGAGGTTTACACTATTTTAAGCGTGCCTCCGTTAGACGCTCGCCCTGGTTTTAATTACCTCGGCTCTCGCGGCAGGGCAGCGTTCCCGGGGCACAGGCCTGGCCCTTGTTATCCTTGGAAAACCGGGAGCGCACTGTGGCCGCGGCCGGGGCCGGCTTAAAAATAGGCGCAATAACCACGGCAAAAGGGGGGGGGACACCCCCCTCAAAAAAAAAGCTGGAAAAGCCACAAAGTGGGTGAAGGGGAGGGATAAATTTAAAAAAATTAAAATAAAGGGAAAAACTAGGGGTGATGGGGGGGGACCAGCTCATGACGCCCGGTCTCAGCCCGCGGCAGCTGAAAGCCATGAAGGGCATAAAAGCAGAGGAAGTCGCCCGGGGTGGGGGGAGGCCACAGTATAATTCGATTAAAAGGCCATAAAGGCAGAAGGAGCCGAGATTGGGAGCAGGGGGAGGCCGGGGGGCGGTGGTGAGGGGGGCCCCCCACCACTGCTGGCACAACCCTGCTATTAGCCCTTGGAGAAGCCCCTGCGAGGATGCCTCTGCTCTTGGGGTGGAGATGGGGTGTTCTCAGCTCTAGGAGGTGGGGGGAAACTGAGGCACAAGAGATTGGGGAGCACCGGGGTGGTGGTGAGGTGAGGAGGGAGGCGAGGGGTGTCACGGTGGGGCTGGGTGTAGCCGGGGTGCAGGTGCTGCCTGGGGCTGGGTGCCCCACGATGCTGGGTACCCCACGAGGCTGAGTGCCCCACTGTACTGGGTGCCCATCGCCCTGGGTGCCCCATGGTCCTCGATACCCCACTACAGGGTGCCCCATAGTGCTGGGCGCCCCATCGCATCAGTTACCCCATTGCACTGGGTGCCCATCGCACTGGGTGCCCCATGGTCCTCGATACCCCACTACAGGGTGCCCCATCGCACTGGGTGCCCCCCAGCACTAGTTACCCCAT